TTCGAGACCTTCTACTTATGGTGCTTCTTCCTTATACACTGTCATGGAACAATTGTTGATTCAACAGGGAGATATTCTATCATTATAAAGTCAATATACAAAATGTAGAAGAGCATATGGATCATTATGATGAGTATTTACAAAGGAAGAGTGACTATGATGCTACTTTTGATGAAAATTTGGTGAAATTCTTGAAGGGCGATCATTCAGTTGAGTTTCCTACTTGTCCCAGGTTTTCCCCATATCAGAGTCACAGACCGATGAAGAATGATGATGATGAGGAGGAGGATGATGAGTAGATTATTGTTTTTATTTTCAGATGTAGGTTTTATTAGTCACCTTGATGTACTGTTAGTGGGTTGTGTGTTAAACCTTTTTTTTGTTTTAATGCATTATTGTTTTACTTGTGCTCCTGTTATTTAGAAATGCCTGTGTGTTAGATTAGTATTTTACTTTGCAAGTTTCATGTTTTACATTTTAGTTTAAGATTTACTACTGCCAACACTTATTTTTACTACTTGTACTTGTACTGATTCTCTTGCTTAGAACCTTTAGATTTTTCTCTTTCTTCATACTTATATTGAGCTGTACTATTTTAAATTAATTAAAAATTTGAGTTTGAGGGAAGGGAGAAAAACTAAAAAAAAAAAAAAAACTAAACCTTATTTGTCCTTAACAAACCATATTTTAAAAATTATTTAAAATAACCAGTGGTATATGGTGTTAGATTTAGATAACTATGTTTTTTTTTTATTTCAGTAATCTTACAGTAGACTTAAGTAAAAGTTTTAGATAACAAATGTTAGTTTTAGAGTTAAGATATTTCGTATAAGAGTATAGGATTATGCTTTTACTATTTAAATTAAAGAAAAATGTATTTTTGAAATATTAAGGATCATATATATACACTTAAAAAAAGAAGGATTGAGACTCTATGAAAAATCTTTTTAAAGCTAATACACATTATGAAGTAAAAAAATATAAGAAGTTTTTAACTTTAAGAAGAGGATAATGAAGTTCACAATCATTAAAGTCTATCCAAATAGAATAATCCTCACATAAAAAGAAATGAAAAGAGAAAAAGAAAAATCAAAACAAAAAGAAAAGCAAAAAGAAAAAAAAATATGTGAGGAGAAGCTTGAGAAAATGCCTAATAAAAAATTAGCTTAACTGGAATTAACTTAAGGAAAATGACTTAATTACATTTCTGAACTTATTCTTAATTTTAAAAGTATTAACACCTTTACTAGTAGAGCTTTCATGAAATTCTTTTCCTTTAATTCTATTGAGATTCCTATGTGTAACAAATTACAATTATTGTTGAAATGAATAGAAAATCAGAACTCCTAGACTTGATTACTAGATATTCTTACATTTTGGTTCTAATCTAGGTTATTAAAAACTTTTCTAAAGTTTTACTATTACAATTATGGAACAAAAATAATACAAATCTTTATGCAAGACCCACTACCATAAGTTTTATATTTTTATTTATAGAAAAAGGGTTACTTGAGAATAAGTAACGTTTAAGTTTGGGGGAATTTATACACCTTAAAAATACATGTTTTAAATATACGTTTAATGCTTATTTTATGCACATTTTTTATGATATTATGCTTTAATGAAATGTATTTTTCATATTTTTGGTTGCAGGTACAGGAAATGAAGTTTATATGAAATGGAGCAAAATTGAAGGCAAGATGGAGCTATGGAACAGTGGTGCCTAAGAGCCAGATCCAACGCTCAAGCGCCAGACAATTATGTGATCCTAGGTGCCAGAGTCGGTTAGAGCATTATACGTTGAATTTAGACAAATTTCGAAGAGGTTTCTGAAGCAACCCTTGGTTATTTTTAGAGCTTTACATATTCTGGCCGAAAGGGGAACATGAGGAGGACTTTTGGAAAACTTTTAGAGGCTTTGGTTTTACTTTTGTGTGAGTCTTGTGAGTGAGACCACCATAGTGAAAGTGTGGTGAGTTCTTATGTTGTCTGAGTATTGTTTGAGTCTTGTGGAGTCAAGTACATTTAAGGGACTTCAGAGTTTACTTGGAAAAAAGTTAAGATAAGTAATTTATATTTTTATTTGAGTTTTACTATCTTTTGTGAACTTGATTATCAATATAAATTCAAGTGTTTTTGTTTTATCTCTATGAATTATGAGTAGTTTCCTTGGTTTCTTCTTGCTACGAGAAATGAGCATGTGTAATATACAAATGGTTTGAAGAATTTTATTTTTAAAATTTGAGATGACACTTTCACCTGAACTTCATTGACTTTGAAATGTAGCCAGTTATGAGATTAACATCTGTTGTGAAACATAATGACCTGGGAGGGCTATGATTTCACTCAACTTGTGAATGCCACGTTGACCTTTAGGATGGGAGTGTGGTGCTCAGTTCGTTGGTTAGCACAAATAGATATGGAGATAATTTTATTGGGCGTAGAAGTGATGTTTCTAGGGTGATATGCTAGATTCTTATCATTTCAGTTTGGAATTTGGATCTAAGGGTCCCTAGTAGGTCCTATAGAGAGGGCACGGTGGGTAATCTGAAAGTGAGAGGCCAGAATCTACTCAACAACACAACACTAGTTGGAATAAACTTTAGCCGACGTTATTTACAAGCACCAGGAGGGGGTAAATGATAGATATGCTCCTATTTGTCACAATACCACATTTGATGTTTGAACATTCAAATTTTACACTGATTATCATCTCTAAGCAAGGGGAAAGAACTTTTTATAGCATACTTTCTTTTATATAATATTGGTTTGCATTTGCTTTTTTGCTTAGAATCAAATCCCGCATAAATTTAGTTTTCGTCTTTCTAAAAATTTCGACATTCATCTCCTTTAAGTTGTGTTTGTAGTTTATAATAGAAACTTTTCTAAGTCATTATAAAAAGATATGGCTTCCCTGTGGGATCGATACTGAGGGTTTTAAGAAAACTCTATATTACTTGAAACGATACATATACTTGTGTAGTATCCTTAGTGTGAAAGCTCATCTTTTATTTTCTAAATCATTTTATTTGTTTACACTAGCTGTTAAATATAATTCGGGCCAAGTTTTTTGGCAAACTTTTGGAACATAGATATCTGCGTAATTGCGGGTCGGGTCAATGGATTTACTTGACCTATCCTTACAAGGTTTATTTCATGTAAGCTCTCCACGTTCTTCTATTATTTTTCATCTTTGTAGTATGTCCATCTCTTCTGGTTCCTCTCTTCTCCTGAACATTAACATGAATCAGAAGAGAGACTTATTCAGAAAAGGGAAATATATGACAATGAAAAAATTGACGACTCATTTAAAAATGAAAAGAGAAGGGAACGAAAATAAGGACTTGGTATGATCAACATTATAAATTAGAATAACACATTCATACCATAACACAATGATACTTAGAATTCTTAGGGCAACCGATAACTCTGTGTGTGAGGAGCATCCTTCCTACGAAGGCTGGTATATAACATTTAATAATGGCAAAACCTCAAAACCGAGTAGAATTCAAGCACGGAGGGACTCATTTGAAAGGTTTTGATGAGAGAGACATAATGGCGAATCTTATTTAAAAAAAAAATGACTTATTGAAAAAAAAATTATGTGAGATGTACTTTTCATGCGTGAAAATTTTAAGTGTACAATTTTATGTAAAAACAGTATCCCATGACTAACTAATTGGTTTGCATGATTTTCATATATGATTATGAAAATCAAGCAACTTACAGAATATGATTTGGATCACTATATTGACTTTGTGGAAAAAACTGATTATTTTTGGGTTTGCGATGAAAATCGTCATTTGAAAATTTAAATTGATAAGTTTTACATAAAAAATGTTTCGAAAGATCATCAAACTTATTTGCACAATATTTATAAGTAATCATAAGCCTCACACAACTTTCAAAATGAAGACTTGAAACCTACAATAATCTTGGGAAAGAAAATAATAATTATAGGATTTTAAGTGATTAAATTAAAAAAAAAATTTAAGTTTATCCTTGAGTTTAGTTAAAATTTAGTGTGAAGTTTGTTTTGATTTCTTTTGATTTTTTGTTAAGTTAAAAATTTAATTTTCTTAAATTAGGGCCTGTTTAAGATCATGCTCAAGTAAAATCCAATAAAATTAGCCAGGAAAACATGGTTGACAAAAATTGAGGTCAACACATAGATTTGCAAATTGTGACAAGTCTTTGACAACGTCATCTAGACCAAAATATAACCCTGTGTCTTTAGTAAATTAATTTAGCAATCTAGGAAGATAGTCTTCATTACTCTCTTGTTTAATCTCTAGAGCAAGTGTGCTTGATAAATAAATATAAATGCTGGAAATCAACAACTTATACATTTTCTCACGAATTTCATGAATTGATCAACATTCTCTCACGAATTTCATGAATTGATCACTGTATTCGACCGCTTAACTTTGAATTCAATTCATTATGATCAAAGGTATATGATGAAAGCAGCCTAACAAATATTTTGATGTACATTAATTGCTTTAATCATAACTAGATATGATCGGGGAGTTGTATCATGCCAATAAATAAAGAGTTCGATGGTGATTGCAACAAAATAAATGAGACAACACAATGATAACATGGTAGATCTAGTCCCTAACACATTAGGATAGCTATATATTTAGAATAAATCCAAAAAAAAAAAACAATAAAGCAGGTGAAATTAAGACATGTATTGCTTTTTAGATGTCTTTGAATTTTCCTTAAAATTGGGCAGGGTTTGTTCAACGTACCGCTTTGTCCAAAAAAAAAAAAAAATGGTCAACAAAAAAGAACCGGCCCAGTAGACCCACAGCGGGCAAATAATAACCGTCGATCATGACCTCCACATTAGATCCAAGCCCCACTCTTTCAACGGTCCAAATCAACCGGCCTAGTGGGACCTACTTGATAAACCGGCCGGCTGAAACTGCTCCGTGTGCTTCACTTCCTAGAGTCCTGCAGTCCGTTTCTTCTCACACATTAATTTTTTCCGTATTTAACAGTAAAAAAATAGAAAAAGGATGCCGGAGAGGGAAGGTAGAGTTGTGCAGAAAATAAACGTCCTAATCTTTCTCTCTCTCGCTCTCTCTGTTCATGAGTCATGGCGACCAAGCCGCCTCAGTTCGATCTCTGGCTTCCGCGTTAAGAATCCTTAAGCGGACTATGCTATGGAAGACTAATCCACTAGTTTACTAGTACACTTGCTGTCCTTCTTTCTCTATCTCAAGCGATTTACGACTAGTATGGGTTTGTTTGACACCGATCGATCTTCTTGAACGCTGTCCATTCGACAAATTTCGGTCGGTTTCCAATCGCTTGCAGTTTTTGGCGAGGTTCAAAGTGCCGATCTCCATCTGTTTCCCTCTCCCTGCTCGCCTGACCTCCGATGTGGTTGGTGTAGTCAACCGACTTTACTTTGGAATCATAGGGTTTTGAGACGCTGTCGATTCTTTTTGGATGGTTTGATTGATTGGAATGTGTTTTGTTTGGTTTCAGGGAGTAAGGAGGAGGAGGAGGAGGGGGAGGCTGAAGAGGAAGGTGGAGAGCAGAGAGCGGATGCTATTCGACAAGGCGGCGAGATGTACGTGCGGGAGTGGTGGAGTGGTGAATCTGCAGATGATGAGCTCGATCGTGAAGGAGATTCGGGAGCCATGCCTTTATCACTCCCCAACTAGGGTCAGTTTATTTCAAAGAAAAAAAAAAAAGAAAACTAGATTCATTTTAAACTCCACATTTGATTGGAGACTCTGGCTTCTTAAGGCTTTGTTGGCTTGTTTTTCTTTTCTAGTTTTATCAATGATTAAAATTTATTCATATTGTTTTGTTTTAATCTTTAAGGTGATTTTTGTTTTATGAAGCTTTCTGCTGTTAGATTTGGTTATTGGATCCCTTACAGTTGACGTTTAACTGTTTTTTCTTCTTTTTACGACTTGTACGATAGAAAAAGAACTTGAGGCCAAGGAAAATTGGATACCATTTTTAGCTAATTTGGTTTGTTATGAAATGCTTCGACCATATTTATGGCTTCCAAGAGCATTTTTTGCACTAAAATAGAAACAGTTTTACTTCACATCAGTTTGCTTTTGCAGTTTGTAAAATATTCCTCTTTAGTGATTGAACATCTTATCGCATATGATTTTTATAACACTCGATTTTAAATTCAGGTTGAATCTGAGATTTGAATCCCTAAGCTATATTGAATACATGGTAAGCGAGTGAAACAACATAGAAACTTCTGAATTGCGCTTTTAAAAATTGCTGACTCGTTTTTTTCCTTCCCCACTTGTTCTGTGTCCATTTCTCAAATCTCGATTATTTATACTGATTTTAGTTATCCAATTATTTTCCAAGAAAAATAAATTTGTCATGAAAACTTCCTTTATCTCCTTGAATCTCAAGATCATGATGCTTATATGTTTTCTAATCAAATAATTTCATGTTATTTTTTTTTTAAATTTATGCGTAAGAGCTTTCAGATAACATCTATTATTGACAGTAAATGATCAGTGTATATTTTTTCTTTTGTCTAAGTGCCCTGATCATGGGAGGACTCTTTTGAATATTTAGTTACTAAGAAACCTGATACAGTGCTATTGTTCAGGAAATGCAATGTTTAACAATGATTGTAGGCTGTGTGCACTCAAGTTCAAAATATATAATAGCTTGAAAGTCTTTCTCATTTTGAGCAAACACAACAAGGATGCGCTTTTAAGTTTTCTTTGAATAGGTCCCACCGGATTCTACTAAGTCATATATGTTGGACATTTAAGTTGTAGATCACTTCTTGTAGTATTTTTTTTTTCTCAGTGAACAACCCTTAACCATTATATTCATATTCATCTCTATATTACCTATGCTTTGGTGATGGCAGTAGTGGTTTTTATTTCATTGGCCGTTCAAAGGTGAGGCAATCGAATTTACTCTCAATGAAGACCTATTCTGATGGCACAAATGTATAATATGGGCTTTCTTTATTTTTGAATGAAACAAGTGACACAATTTATTGCCTAGACAAATTGCTTGGGCTGCTTTACTTTCATCTACGTTATTAGACTTAGTCCAACTATATGAGGTTTGGTTTTGGTGAATTCTTATTTTTCACTCATTCAAAAGGCAACTTATGATGTTAAATTCGTTTTGATGTAAATCATTTCGAATGAATTTTATCCATTTTTAGTTAGGTCTAGCTTTTTTGTCTTTTTAATTCTCTTATAACAAATTTTATCTACTTGTCTAATTTATGCATTATTTATCATTCATTTTACCTGCTCAAACCACCTATGTTTATTTTTATGTACATTATCTTAAATTTTTTTGAAAAGGCTTGGGGATATTTTAAAGTTTAGTATGAAGCTGGAGATATATAATGCAATGGCATTGTGTTTTGTATGCATGGGGAATATGCATGGGGAACTAGTTATTGGATTTTGTGCGAAATTTGCTCAATCTTATGAATCATTTTGATTTTTTTTAATTAATTTCTTAAAAGTGTTGAACATTGTCCCTATTGATATTGTTACTTAGCTAAGGGGGTAATAAGGTTGTAAAGAAGTAGAACATGAATGGGATTTGGTTTTATTTGCCCATGTTTTGTGATTATTGACTAAGCATAAATGAGATAGAGTTTATTAACAAGTTGAAAAATTTATGTTCATGCTTGACCCATTTATGATTAAGCTAATTATGAATAACTAGCCATGTTGATGATCATCAATAGTATCAAATATATATCAATTGATGGCTCCAATTGCATAAAAGAAAGATATGTTTTTTATAGAAAACATTTTTTTATTATTCATAGAACTTAAAACATGTGTTGTTCATGATTCTACGAGTATGGTAGATGGTTTTTAATACTAAAGTGCATATATTATATATTGAGCTTACATAGCATTGAAATTTATTGAAGAGTTAACAATTAAGATTAGTAGAACAAAGATTGATTTGTTGATATGCTATTTTAGTAGATGTAAAATTGATAATTAGTAGTAAATATCACTTAATGATTAGTGTTGCTTAAATGTGGTGGGTTTAAGTACCCTGGATTTATTAGTTAATAGAACGAGGATAAAAAGGTGAAGTTAAATCTAGATGTTCAAAACTAAAAATGCCTCGGGAGTTTAACTATGTAATAGATTATCATGTATAACCAACATAAATTTAATTGCAGTTAGATCTCGTTTGGGAGTAATTCATCTTTCAGAAAAGTTCTTTCAAAAGTAACAATAGAAAAAATTCTGTCATAAATGTACGTAAGTGCAATACTTTCCTTTGAATATAAAGTTTCCTATATATTTTTTAACACTATTTTTTATCACCGTTTAAGATATTCCCTCACCGAATCTTTATTTGTGGAGCCTTCTCATATTATGGTAAAAAGGTAAAATTAACTTTTCCTTTGCAAGACCACGGGCTGCTTTTGGAAAAGCTCAGAGATATTTCATGTGGGAAAACAACAAAAAAATATTTTTCCGAAAAACGTGCGTTGCCAGAAATTATGTAGCCAAAAAACAAAAAACAAAAAATGGTGTTATGCAAATGTATCACTCTATAAAAGCCCGTTCAAATGAGCCCTTATAGTAATTGTTCTATATGCTTTAGAGTGTTGGACAACAAAGATGTTTACTTGCTAATACTTTATGTATAATAAACAATACAATTTAATGGAATTGTGTTAAAACTAATATGAACAGTCAAGCATCTTAATCATTTTTCAGTTGATCATAAACAAATGCCTACATTTATTATTCTATTATCATTCAATTATTTTTAAAATGGCAAAATAGTTTATGAAATCTTGTAATGAGATATTCTTGTGTTAAGTCTTTTTTGGTTGAGTCTCCGCTCTTGAGGATAATGTTCTAGTTGTTTAAATTGTGATTCTGCAATTTAGTTTGTACAAATCGCTTATTTGAAATTTATGATGTGCAGATTGTTTTGAGAACAATTAATTGATCTCCAGTAAAAAAATTGAACTTGGTTAAAGATTTAATTGGCATTTCTTCTTTAAACATTTGATGACACAGAGAAACAAGATGCTCAATCCAGAAAAGTGGCAGGCAGTTTTTGATGGTGACGGGAAGCTTCCAGGCTTCCGGAAAGCTCTTAAACTGATCATACTAGGCGTAAGTTATTTGGTTGTACTATGCACTGTTTTGTTATTTGAATTATATCTTTGTGTTTCTTAATGTTGTGCTGCCATTTCCTATTATTACTAACGAAGAAAGTCTGCCATGTTCTATAGTTTTTCCTTTCGTGTGTTTCAATTTTGGGCTAGTAATATGTTCGCATTAAAGTATGATCATATGTTGACTATAGAAGCTTTGCTTTAGCCCCAGTAAGGATAACTTATGTTTTGTCATGAACTCCTTATAAATCCAACATGACCTGAAATTTAGTCACGTTCTTTCTTACAGTCCTAGTAAATTTGCCCTTCGGATTGGGTTGGTTAAACTTCTCTTTTATATTGGGTTTCTGTTTATCCATGTATTTGATGTTGTTCAAAAACTTGGCTCAGAACGGACATTGTATTGAGTTGAGCAACACCAATTTGATGGTTTAAGTAAATATTATTTTTTAACTAAGCAGATTATTTTTCTCTTCGAGGTGATCAGTTGGCAGATCTTTAAGCTAGATGATGGTTCTAATAATGAAATTTAGTTTTACTCTTTAAACTCTGATTGATTCATCAACTCCTAAAACTTATTAGATTTATTTTAGTTTATTTTTTGTTCTCAAATAACTCAGGACCAAAGTTGAAGAAAACTTTATTTATTACCGCACATTCTGGCATCCTATTTTCCCATATTTCCACTTTGTGTTTGATCTGCTGTTTAGGCCTTACAATTTTTTCTAGAAGTGTATTGGAATATTTTTCTCTTCCCATCTAGTTAAATACACAGTCATTATTCTTAAGCTGTTGTTTTTTCCCATCTATCAGGGTGTGGATCCTTCCATAAGAGCTGAAGTGTGGGAGTTTCTTCTTGGGTGCTATGCTTTAAGCAGCACTGCAGATTACAGGAGGCGGCTAAGAATGGCTCGAAGGTTTTGTTTTGAGTATTTCACCTTTTTTTTGTAGTTTAGTAAATGTTTTATTGATCGCTCAACATGTTACAATATTCCTTTATAAAGATTGTATTTGTTATCTTTAAATTCACATTATCATCTTTTCGTTTTTTTTTCTTATTGTTTTGGAAAGTTGTATACAATATAATGCAAATTTTCTTTTTGTGATTTGATGATATTTATTTGTTGCTGTTATTATGTGTCATCAACTTTTATGTGTTATGGTTATGGATTTTGAGCAGATAATTATTAGATGTTCCATGATGTCTTTTTTTGCCATTTTTAGATTTTAATTTTTTAAACGTATTGAACTTGAGAGGTAAGTGTGAATAGCGAATGTTTGTGTTTGGAAAATTGGAGTTTGGATTTTATTTGTGCTTAATTTTCGTTTTAAAATCAATTGTCTAAACATTTATAAGTATGTGATAGGAACTAGCTAAAGCAAATATTTTATTACAATAATTCAAACATCTCAACTCAAATAAAAGCAGAAAACTACCTACAATTCAAAAGGTAGGCAAGGTCTCTTAAACTATTACTTCTAAGACTCCATACATCAATTTCAAGCCTTCCCAACCCTAAACATAATAAGCCTATTCATACCGGATAATTTTAATAAGAATCAATGACAGAACTACCCTTTTATCCTGCGCCTAAAATGTTTTCAAATTAATTTGTGAGTTCGGCATGGTGGAAAGCATTATTGGTGCCAATCTAACATTACTCATTTCCCAATAAGACACATTATCTTTAAGGTGGAAAAGATGAAACTGCTGTTGGATCAAGTCGTATGGCTTTCACGTGATGTCATAGTTTGATAATCCTTTCCACTTAATCAACACTTCTTTCCCACATGTTGATTTCTGGAGCACTCTTTTTTAGCTCTAGTGGCTCCAAGAAAACTTTCATATCCTCCATCAAGATTGGGGGAATTGAAGAAGGGCATGTTATCACCAATAGTGTCTCAACTATAATATATGGAAAACTGGATGAAGTGTCGATGAAGGTGGCAATTTTAGACGATAAGCCACCCACTAATGTGCTCTATGATCTCATAAGGTCATTGTCTTCTGTTGATAGGACCAAAGTTTTAAATACACCATATCTCCTATCGCAAATTGCCCACCCTTTGATGTCTATTGGCTTGTTTCTTCATAAGTTGTACTTTCAATAGATGTCCCTCAATTCTACCAGTATCTTGTGCCTCTTTGTGTACAACTCCACCAGAGACCTACATTGTACTGTGTCCATAATGCTCTAGGTGATGTGGATCACGACCATACAATATTTTAAAACATGTAGCTTGAGAAGGTGTATGATATGATGTGTTGTATCATACTCTGCCCAACATAGCTATTTCACCCACTGCTTGGGTACGTCAGATACAAACCAACACACATAGGTCTCCATGCTCCGATTAAAAACTTCTGACTGTCTATCTGTCTGCGGGTGATATGCTATACTTTTCTTTAATACTATCCTTTGCATTCTAAATATCTCTCTCCAAAAATGACTAAAGAAGATCTTGTCTCAACTCAACATTATCGATTTGGGGATCCCATGCAAGTGGACAACCTCCCGTATAAAAATCGCGGCTGCAGTGTAGGGATGACATAGAGGTATAAAGTTCGCGGACTTGCTCAGTCGATCCACTATCACCAAGATGATTGGAAATCCTTCTAATTGAGATAAGCCTTCAATGAAATCCATCGTCACATCCTGTCACACTTTCTCCGGTAATGCTAGAGGCTGTAGCAATCCCTAGGTGCTAAGGCTATATATTTGTGTCGTTGGCACACATCACCCCTTGAAATCATGTTCTCCACATTTTTCCTCATTCCCACCAAATACATTCTGCCGCTATCTTTCGATCTATTTTGAGCACGTCAGAATGCCGCTCAATAGCATTTCCATGAAACTCATGTAATGACTTCAGCGTGTGCCTTGAATTTTGGAGTATTACATAACATCCCTGGTAGAGTAATCGTTGACTACAACTAATTAATTAGAATAGTCGTTCTTTTTGTTAAAACTGACCTAATCTTACTCAATTCTTCATCTACTTCTTTGTCCTATCTCAGGACCTCCTAATGTAAATCGAAGGATCCGACAATGCTAATAATTGAGATCCTCCACACGTAACGATAGGACATCATCAGTCTTATTCTTTAATCACGGACTATACTGCATCTCAAAGTCATATCCCAGTAGTTTTGATAGCCACCATTGATGTTTCTCAGTCACCATTCACTATTTTAACAAAAATTTAAAGCTGCATTGATCCGTGTGTACTGAAAAATGCATTCTCGACAACTAAGGTCTCCATTGTTCAATGACAAGCACAATTACCATGAGCTCTCACTCATATACTTACTTGAGTCTTACCCTCACTGTCAATACTTGATTGAAGTAAGCAATGGTGATTGACATTGCATGAGAATTTGACCTAACCCATAGCCTGAAGCATCCATCTCTACAATGAATGGTTGGCTGGAATTACGTAATGACAATATTGACACATTCTTCATGTCCTTTAACTTTTCAAATGCCTAGGGTGCTTCTTCCCTTCACTTAAAGTTAACCTTCTTCAAGTGCTAAAACAATGGCTACACAATCAAACTGTAAACCTTCAAGAACTTCCGGTAGTATCCTATAAGTCTCAAAAATCCTCTGAACCCCTTTTAAGTTTTGAGGTAGTGACCAATCCAATATAGCTGCTATCTTTTATGGAAATGTTGGCGCTCTTGTAGCCGACATCACATGTCTTACGTAACGCCAATATTGACACATTCTTCATGACATTTAACTTTTCAAATGTCTGGGGTGCTTCTTCCCTTCACTTAAAGTTAACCTTCTTCAAGTGCTCAATCAATGGCCACACAATCAAACTGTAAACCTTCACGAACTTCCTGTAGTATCCTATAAGTCCCAAAAAATCCTCTGAAACCCTTTTAAGTTTTGAGGTAGTGACCAATCCAATATAGCTGCTATCTTCTATGGATATGCTAGCGCTCTTGTAGCTGACATCACATGTCTTCGTATTCCACCTGTTGAAATAGGGAACCTGAAGGAGCACACAATTACAAAAAAATAATTCTAGTTGACATAGCCAAACCGAAAGTGGTGTACCTACATCACGATTCAAAATAGTGGGCGGCATAATTACGTCGAGTAGCCGCGTAGCTATGCCACGATATCCTTTGTTTCAGGCTCTGTAGCAGAGCGACTAGCATAATTATGTCAAGGAGCGGTGTGATTACATTAGGTGTGGTTTGTCTCTCGATTCAATTTTTTATAACCTCGATTCAAAGCGAGCGTATCTCTCTTGCACATTGTGAACTTTCTAAGGGCTTTTGTTTGGAGTTGTGATGTTCAAGAAGTGAATTTCAGATTGTACGATTAAGAGACGGATTTGGAGCATAATTTTTATATGTTTCTGTGGTATAGAGAAAATCTGAGCTGTGAAAATTTTTGTATGTTTCTCATTTTATAGTGAAATTTTGGTGGTGTGACTTTGTAGATTTTTCCCTTTAGGTTTTTTCACGTCAAATCTTGGTGTTTGTATTTCTAGGATTACTTTGTTGCGTGTTTCTGGTCAATATTTTATTTTCAGATTTCTCAAATTGGTGTGATTATTTTTTTGCTGTTTGATTTTGATTGTAAATCGATCGAAGCCAGAGTTTTCATCCCAACAAATAATATCATAGAGGTGTATCTTTTCAGAAGATCTTTTGATTCGAGTGGGAGCAATGACCTAATGAAGTCAGGTTCAAAGTGGAAAAATTTAATGGATTGAACTTTGTGTTCGAGAAAATGCAAATGAAAGATTTATTATATTAAAAAAAAACTATATCAGTCACCATAAAGAATTAGCAAGAAGCTTAAAACTATGACATTGGAAGAATGAGACGTGCTGGATCGAACAACCCTAGGTTTGATTCATTTTCCAGTTTCTTCGTTTGTTGTTTTCAACTAGTAAATGAGAACATGACAACATTGACAAGAATGTATGAGAAACCTTTAGCGTAAATAAAATTTTTATGATAAAGAAGTTATTCGGTTTGAAGATTGCGGAAGATATTTTGGGGCTGAACCCTTGAACAATTTCAATACTATGACAAACCGATTGTGTTTTGTGGGTATCAAATTTGATGTTAAGGTAAGGGCACTGTTAATTTTATCTTCATTGTCGGATAGTTGGGATGGACTGATTACAAAGGTGAGTAACTTTTCATGTAATTTGAAGGTTAACTTCGATAGCATTGTAGAGTTAGAGCTGAATGATGAAATTTGCAAAAAAATAGTGAACGGTGAATTCTTAAGTTTTGCATTGAATGTTGAAAAAGAGGGAATAAATCTAGACATAAATATTGATTGAAACAAATTCAAGTCCAGTAGAGAGAAGCCAAGGTCAGACATATGAAATGATAGAGGTGAATGTTGGAAATGTGGGAAGAAATTTCATTTCAAGAAAGACTGTAACTCCAAAAAACGTTGGTGGTGGCCGAGGCAAAAAACTCTGTAGTTGTCTCCACATGCGAAATTCAAGGCGATTCTCTGGTTTTATATCTAGTCTGCACTGAATCTTGGATATTAGATTCAGGTGCTTCTTTTCATGCATGTCCTAACAAAGATGTGTTTTAAAATTACACTCAAAGTGATATAAAGAAGATTTATTTGAGAGATAACAAGTTCTGCAATATCATTAGAAAAAGTGATGTTGATATCAAGTTGCTGAATATAATAATCTGGAAGTTCAATGAAATTGGATATTTTCTAAGTCTGAATAGAAATTAGATCTCGATGAGCCAACTGCCAAAGTCTGCGTATGTGATTATTTTCATAGGTGATTCGTGGAAAGTGACAGGGGGCAATGGTGATGGATTGAATAACGTTGAAGGTGCTCTTTATCTAATCAATGAGTTGACATAGGGTATGTTTGAGGTAGCTGTTGATTATTTATAATCTGCTAATAAACA